ATGGTTCATCTTGATGCCAACTTGACCAGACTTGCCATTATCCAGGAGGCAAATCTATAGGAGAGTTTCTAAATTATGTTAGTTGAGGTGGGAGGACCCAGCGTAACCGGGAAGCACCATAGCCTGGGCCGGCATCCTGGATTGTACACAAAGGAGAAAGCAAGCTGAGCGCCAGCATGCATCTCTCAGCTGTCCACTGTGGATACGATGTGACCAGCTGCACAACATTATTACTGCAGGACCTTCCCTTTCATGATGACTGCATCCTCAAACCATGAGCCAGAATAACCCTCTCATTGATGAAGCTGCTCTTCTCAGGCGTATTGCCACAGTAGCAGGGAAAGAAACTACCATGCTCACATCTAATTGGGTAGGGACCTGTAAGGAATATATGATATCTAAAATATAAGCTGCAGAATAAAAGGGGGAGTCAGAAAGTCTTCAAGAGCAAAAGCCAGTGGATGACTGACTACAAGGAAATAGTGTTTTCAAACTCAGCAGGGCGGCGTGTATGAACTCCTAGTGGCTATGACGTGACAGCAGACACAAGACCTACCTGCACAAACTCAAGACAGGCAAAATCTCAGCCTGGAGATAAGAGTGGGCACCAAGTACCATGCCTAGCTGAGGATCTATAGTGTAACTGAGAGCTTCTGGGGAGGGAGAGTCGGTTTTTTTTTTTTAAAGGGCAAGGCCCCTGATAAGATAAGGCAACCATGCTCTCATGGATGTCCCCAAATCCAAGAGTATATGGAAGTACTTATGGAACTCAGTAGGTTAAAAAAAAAAAGTGAGAACACAAAGTTGGGCGGATGTGGAATAAGAGTAGATCTTGGAAAAGAGGGGGTGGGGGATGAATATGATCAAAATACAGTGTGTGACATCTCAAAGAATTAATACAAATATTTCTTAAAAATAAATAGAAGGCAGATAAAGCAAGAAATGCTAAGACGAGGTCAGGGAGCTGTGAGACAGGGCTTGATTTTCCAGCCGGGGGTGGAAGGGGGGCGATTTTTACCGACTTTCATTGGGAAAATTATTTCAGGAGCATGATGCTGGCTGTGAGCATGCCCCCTTAGTATGTGGGCTCCACATTTAGACCTGCAGGGCTTAACTGCTCTGTCTTTTTTCTTGGAATGTTTGGTTTCCAGCATAGGAATCTCTTTCATACTTCCAGTTCTTTCCTCGTCAAGGATGGTATCAAGGGCTTTTCTTAATCATTTGTGCCAAGATGAAAACTCCACCTCCCCCCTGGTTTAGGATTCTGGTTGATCTGACCTGCCTTTGACCCTGGCAGAGACACAGCTGAGCACCTTTGCAATTAGTCCCAGTCTTATGCTGAAGAGGCCAGTGCCGCCAGTCTCATCTGCCCGCTGTACTCCTGTGTGAGCCTATCGCCTGTGTGTCGCAGCAGGTGACCTGGTGCTGACACCTGGTAAATCCTTACGACCATCAATCTGTCTTTGGAATCTTCAAGCCTACCATCATAGGATATCACATTGGGGCTGACATGTTTGGGGCCAAGTCCCAGACAGGAGATGTGTGTCACCTCGGGATGACAGGATAATCAAAATGTATGATGGAAAGGGCCTAACCATCATCCCATCACTCACGAGCAAAGAGGCAAAAGCTGTCAGGGTACCCGAGTCAGGTGTGGGAGAGGCAATTCCTGACAGGTGATTAATGCCAAGAGCCAGTAATCAGCCAGGTTCTGCCAAGAGAAACGGGCATGTATGGATACGTTTTCCATAGCAGTATATACCTTCCCCCCACTCCTGACCTCTGGTTTGACAATTATTATAGAAAGCCCTCAGAAATGACTATCTTTCTTTCCGATTCCAAATACTTATGCTTTTGAAAGAATCCAGAGATTGTTTAGTGATCTAAATCTGGAATGTTCTCCGAAGCCCAGGTCTCACGCATGCTATACAGCATGATTTTGAAAAAGGTGGTAGGAACTTTAAAATATGGGGGCTGGTGGGAAGTGTTAGTACATTTGGGTCATAACCTCAAAGGGGATTGTAGGATAGCAGCCTTATTCCCCTTCTCTTTGCTTCCTGGCTGTGAGGCGAACAGTTTTCTCTGCTATACGCACACACCAGGAACTTACAGGAATATGAAAGCAATCAGTTACTGCTTATGGATTGAGCCTATCAAGCACATGGGCCAAAGTGAACCTTTCTGCTTTTTAAGTTATCTCACGTTCTTTGTCACGGCAACAGGAAGCTGATAAATTCCCTATGTATTATATGCGCCTTACACACATACTGGAGGTAAAAAATATTTCTAGCCAAGCTTTGCAAACACATAATTTGGGAAAGGAATGAAATACTCTGCAGGTAGCTAGCCTTAGATGTCTGTGTTGCTTAGGGAAGCTCTCTCACCTGCCTTGTTGGTAGGAGGCCTCTGAGCAGCCAGCCTCCCTTCTAGGAGCTAGGAGGACAGAGAGATGCTTGGATGTTTGGGGAAAGCAATTCATCCTTCCCTGGTGCTGTTCATTCCCTGTTCTGGTCCTAGTTCTGCATCAACCCTCATGAGTCCTGCCCCTCCCCATCTTTCCTCTAGATGAACAGTGTCGAACTTTACTTGCCTGGAAGTGGACACCCTACTCTATACAGAGATAACATTCCTTTCTCTGCTTTCTCTTCTTTTCAGGTTCCAGCTTCACAGTGCACTAACTGGTTCAAGTGTGTGGAGTAAGCTGTGATGAGATATAGGTTTACTGGTTAACTAGCATCGGTGACAGCTAATCTTGGTTGTCAATCTGACTGGAACTAGTCGGAGTCAACTAAGATGCAAGCCACTGTGCCCTCCTTGTGAGTAACTTTCTTGGTCATATTATTTGAAGTGGCAAGACACATCTTAAATATGGGTGGCACCTTCTGGTGGCAACTCAGATAAAAGGGTAAGATAAAAGGAACATAGCCTTTTGCCTGCTTGCCTACATTCTCGCTGGCACTTTTATCTCTCCCGTTGCTCTAGCATTCCTTCCCTGATGCAGCTTCTTCAGGATTCCAATATAGACTGAAGACCAGAAAATCCTCTGGAATATTCCAGGCCTTCAGTCCTGGGCTGTAACTACTGAGACATCCTGCCTTATGTGCTAAGCAAATATTAGATTCTCAGTATTCAAATGTGAGACTTCCAGGGTTGAAATACCCACTCAAAATAATAAATCACACCTATATGAAAGCAATCCATCATCTCTATATTTGTTTGTCTATGTGTCCGTCCATCCATCTGTCTGTCTGTCTATCATCTCTATACTTCATTCTGCCAGTTCTGTTCTTGTACAGAACCCTGACTAATATAGCATCTTTATTCATAGGAGTTTGAAGATAATAGGTCAAATGTCACATTCTTTGAGACCCTTTCAATTTTCCTAGCCATTTAAAAGTTTTGCTTCCTGTGTAGATACAAAGAACCTTATTTAAACCACAGTTTTACTGTAATTTATAGTTTAGTGAGTTATTTGTGTCTCTCTCCACTGTACAACATTAGATCCCACCCCGTTGTACCCATAGTGGATGTTCCCTAAGCACTGGGAACAACATCAGCTCATAGCAGAGATTCAACACTTTTATATTTGAGTGTTCTTAGGAAAGGCGACTATCAAAAGGCAATATAATTCAGTTCAGGAAGCCTGATTGCCAACTGTTGCAAAGATCCTGTGAATGAGTGCTAAAAGCCTCCAGCCTGGAGCAGTTCAGAAGGTTGTCTTAGGTGGGATGCACTTTCCCATTCAAATATACTGCAACTGCAATTGGGGCCCCTCTGCACTAGCTCAGTTGGGTCTTATTCCTACGGTCTTCTTTACCACAGAGAGCTTTTCTTCCTCTGTGACTCTTTTCCGTGATGTAAAACACAGTCTACAGGTGCTCTCTCCTGCTGCCACTCACTCGTTCCAGCGGGGACTGCATTGCCCTCCCTCTGGCTCCTGGATGCTTCTCTGGGGCCTCAGGGGAAGAGCTAGGAGGGCAGCAGGGATGCCATTGCTCCCCAAGACCAGTCAAGACAGTATAACTCTACTTCTCTGTTCCCCGGGAGACTGGCTGCAATTGTTACATCTTTCTTTTTCTCATTCACTATATCATAAAAGAGTTACCTACTTGAATATAACGTCTATTCCCTAAGAGACAGACTGGAGATTCTTTCTATAGTACTTCAGCATCTCTTATATTCCCTTCAGGGTGCTGAGGCTGGGGTTCACATACACTGCTCTACAAACATTTCTCTGGCCTTGGGAGCCTCTGTTCTGACTGCCTTTATTCCTCTGTTGCTCTCCTTTCAGTGGCAGGTTAGGTAGTGTCGCACTAACTTGTGCTTGGCAACAGCAATGTCCTGACGCCTATGTTGTCTGGATAATAGAGGCCCTTTATTCCTGATCACCAAGACTGTGCTACCGAGGGTTTTTCTGGATCCTCTACTCTGTTGTCAACTCCTAGATTTCAAATCTACTTAGAGAGTTGTTTGAAAGGCTTGGTTTGATTTGTTTTCTCAACCAACCTGTCAGAAATGGAATAGTTCATCTAATTCAGGACATACTGATGCCATACTAGAACCACATTTTTTAAAAAGATTATTTCTAATTGTGTGTATGTGTATGCACATCATGTGAGAGTATGTGTACACTAGCAAGTGCAGGTTTCTGCAGAGCCCAGAAGAGGGTGTCACTAGGTCCCCTGGAGCTGGCGCTATAGGTCGCGGTGAACTGTTCAGCATGGATTCTGGAAACTTAACTTAGGTCATCTTGAAGAGAGCAGCCAGCACTCTTAGCCACTGAGCCATCTCTCCAGCCCCAAGGTTATTTTTAAAATTACTATAATTGAACGAATATGACAGGTCAGATGTTTTCAATACTTTCAATGCATAAAATAAATGCACGCTTAAAATATCATGAATTTAATGTGAAAAAGTTTGGTAAATGGAGTTCCTTTTTAAAAATTCAGCTGATTCCAAAGCCAGAGTTAAGGCATGTGTTCTCAACTGGTCTTCCACCGTACACCGTGCATCTGCTTGAACTCCTTGCTTAAAAGACAAAGCTGTTATCTTGCCATTCTATCATTTTACTACTGAGCTACACCTTGGTACTTTGTCCATAGCAGATACTTAAAAAGTGCGTGGTGAATAGTATCTTTTAATCTGATCTGAGAATGAAGGGTTCCTGATGTAACACTTCATGTGCTTGGTGACAACGGGTTAAACAGATCAATCTATCTATAGATAATTTTAATCCATAAGGTCAGGCGGCTCACTTCCCACTTCTCTCTGATCTAGAAACGGCATGGTAGGTTGTTTGCGGCAGCATTTGTCTTCTTTACCGTCTGTTGACCCTCATCTAAGCTTTCTGAATTCTCCTCTGTCACTTCCTTCCTCAGCTGGTCCTCCTGCACAGTCTCACCCAGGCCGACGCTGGAGGATCGTCCCGGGATGCAGAGGCGGCTGTTAGCATGCTGCCCAACACACACTCTAAGTCTGCAGGGAGAGAAACTGCAGGAAGTTATTTGTTCCTTTCAGTAGACAGGGTTAATTGGAGGCACCAAATAACCGACACACCCAAAGATTATTAAATCAAAGCCCTGACTCCTAATCTATACCATCACCACGATGAAAGCGAACCTCTCTCTTAAATAAGAACACAACTCCATTCTCAAGCTCTGTCTATCCAGTGTGAGCAGCAGGCACGGGGTGCTTTCTGGAGACATACTCAGTGCCAGGGAAAGAAAAGCGTGGGCGTTTTGTGCCCACGTGATTCCACGTATTCTCTTGGTAACTTTTAGATGTGTGTTGTGACGTCCCAGGATGTCTCGGCAGCCATGTTTGAGGTTGTTTGAAAGAAAACGTTCCCCAAAGAGAGTGGCACTGTTAGGAGGCGTGGCCTTATTGAAGGAAGCCTGTCCCCGTGGGGATGGACTTTGAGGTCTCTTTTGCTCAAGCTTCCCTCAGTGTGACTTTCAGTTGACTTCCTGCTGCCTTCTGGTCAAGAAGTAACACTCTCAGCTCCAGCACCACATCCGCCTGCATGCTGCCATGCTCCCCGCCATGATGATACTCTGAACTGTAGGCGAATCACCCCGAGTTGCCATGATCTCTTCATAGCAATAAAAAACCCTAATTAAGATAATGTTTAAAGATGAATCTTCATTAAAGATGAAATTGGGAATCCTTGAAACTTGGGATAACGGGCCAATTGGTAAAGCAACTGCCATACAAGCATGGGAACCTGGATTCGATCCTCAGTACCTTTGCAAAAAGCCAGACATGGGGCACACACTTATAATCCAATACAGACAAAATTCATGCAGGAGGATCTCTGAGGTTTGTGGGCTAGCCAGTGTAGTTGAATACATGAACTCGGGGGTTACTAACAGAACCAACCAGAGGAAAGGAAGTGAAGAAGGGGCTTGATATCAACCTCTTGCCTCCACACACACCCACTCACGTGGGCACCCAACACAAGCATATGTGAGAGTTAACACAAACCAAACACACACAAGCCTCAAATCTACAGCGTGAGAATGGCAGCACTAGGTACCGGCAATATTTCTTGCTTCTGTCATCATCTAAGAATGTATTCTTAGGAACCATTCGCCAAATAATGAGGAAGCAGGAGAAATCTGCAGCCTTGCAAAACCTGCCCCACAGTCAAGCAGACACAAACTAAGTAGAGCTCACCTTTGGGGCTTGCAGTTTGTACCCCTGAGGGTAGAACATGGTCAGTTGGCTTCAGAGCCGGCAGGTGAGTATGCTAGGAACTTGTCCTGCAGAGAAGGGTCACCACTGTGCTCTACAAGACTGTGGCATTTGATAGATGAAGTGACCCCAGGATCCTGTCTATGACTCTTCAGTTCCCACAGATGGAAGGTGTTGTACAAATGTCAGTTGTTGTTATACAGCTCTTGTAAAAAAAAATGTTCCCACTTATTGGTATGGATTCTCCATTGAGTAGTTCAGAGATGATAGCCCCTCCTGGTAATAGCAGTCAGAATAGCACAGTAAATGGCCCCCTTCTTTTCTATACTTTGCCCAATATTTTACTGTTGTTTTTTTCCCCCTTCCCTATAATCCAAGATAGCCCAGAACAGGAGAAGAAAATGTTTGCTTACAAGGCTTAAAAAGAGAAAGATACCGCAGCCCATTGTGATTGAGATAAACAGCAGGAAGGAATTTACATGAGTGTGCCAGAAAGAAGAAATCAGAATTTTCTTTTTTTTGTCTTTTTTTGTTTGTTTGTTTTGACACAGGGTTTCTCTGTAGCTTCAAAACTTGTCCTGAAACTAGCTCTTGTAGACCAGGCTGGCCTCAAACTCATAGAGACTCACCTGCCTCTGGCTCCCAAGTGCTGGGATTAAAGATGTCCATCACTACTGCCCGGCCAGAATTTTCTTTTCAATGTCTAGAATAGAATACATTTGTTTTGTGAATTTATTCTAACACACAGTGTGATGATGCAGCCATTGTATTTTGAGATGTGCACAGTGTGTTGGAAAGAAACTCAACAGACACAAAATTCTCAGTCTAATACAATCTTCTTTTAGGACAATTGTCTGGTTCCAGAATAATTCTCTTTAGTAACTTGTACCACCCACCTGAGTCCACTGGCTTCTTATATGTTCCTCAGAACTATGTAACAGAACACTAGAGAGATACCTATCATGTGACACTTGAGCCACTGAACTTCACAATCAGTGATGTTCACACCGTTGCTCACACAAGTAATGGTGCTTCTTTGAGAAGTGGGTGTCTGTCCTCTTCATCTTCTGGTTTGGCTACAACTTGAATTTGGTTGTAGTGTTAGGAAAATGTTGGGATAGAGAAATATGATTTTTCTTTTTTCTATAGAATTTGAAGGTCTCAAGTAGCCTATAGGTTTTTTTTCTCTTTTTACTCTTTACTCTTTGGGGGGCACCACCCAGCTCCCAAATAAATATATATGGAGACTTTATCATTGCTTATGAATGCCTATCCTTAGCTTGGCTTATTTCTTGCCAACTTTTCTTAACTTAAATGATTCTGTTTATCTTTTGCCTCTGGGCTTTTACCTTTCTGTTTCTGTATACCTTTCTTTACTTCTTACTCTGTGTCTTGCTGTGTAGCTGGGTGGCTGGCCCCTCAAGTCCTCCTCACCTTCTCCTTCTTTTCTCTTAGATCTCCTCCAAGACTTCTCCTATTTATTCTCTCTGCCTGCCAGCCCCACTTATCCTTTCTCCTGCCTTGCTATTCGCCATTCAGCTCTTTATTGGACCAATCAGATGTTTTAGACAGGCAAAATAACACAGCTTCATAAAGTTAAACAAAGGCAACATAAAAAGAATGCAATACATCTTTGCATCATTAAAACAAATATTCTACGGCATAAACAAATTTGACATATCTTTAACTAATATTCTACAACATAAGCCCAGCTGGCCTCAAGTTCTCTGTGTAGCAGAAAACCACCTAAACTCTTGACCCTCCTGTCTTCACTCCACAGGTGCCAGGATCACTAGCAGGTGCCACCCACACTACATCAGTGTATGTGGTGGTAAAGACTGAACCCAGGGCCTCGTGAGTGCCAGGCAACCATCCCACCAGCTGCTCTGCAGTACCTGCCCTGTTTGGATTTCTGAAGGGACAAAAGGAACACGAAATCCCTTTTGGATTCTTTGTCTAGACAGCACAGGAGTGGTTATGTGAATGCGTAAGGATGTGTGATCCAGCTCAGTGAGCTGCTGGAAATTCGCCTCTTTTCTCATCTCATTTGGGATTAAGTAAGACCAGGCAGATAGTTCAAAGGTACGTATCATGGTTTGGATGAGAACTGTCCTTCATTGGCTCTAGTATTTGAACACTTAGTGCCCAGTTGGAAAGTTCTAGGAAGTGGCACATAGCTGGAGGGAGTATGTCATTGAAAGTGGGACTTGAGAGTTTAAAGCCTCCTGCCACTGCTAGTTCACTTTATCTTTTTCAAGTTTGGGACTGGGGATGTGAGCTCTCAATTTCCTGCACTGACCGCCATGCCTGCTGCTTGCTGCTGTGCCATCCCACCGTGATAGGCTATTAAGGCTCCCTTGTATACATAGAGTATACTCTTGAACTAGGAGCCAGAATGAACCCTTGGCCCCTTTAGTTGCTTTTGACAGAATATTTTTACCCCAACAAAATGAAGAAACAAACAAACAAAAAACCCAAACAGGCACCTTATGCTCTTAAACATTCAGAGTGAATTGCGCTTCTGTTAGGCTCCATTCATATCAGTAGCTTCATACAAACTTGCTAAATGGCAGCCCCTATCGCTCTGTAAGTTGTCTTGTTTTCAGTAAAATCTACACAGTTAGATACCCAAGTTCTGGCATGCCAACATAACACAACCAAAAGAGTGGGAATTCTGACCCAGTTGAAGCTAGCATTTTACTATTTGGGGAAAAAAACCCTACAAATTATATTTATTTATAAAGAAAATTTATCTGACTTTTGGCATAGCCAAAATATGCACTGAGATTTTTTTCTCTCTCCTAACTTAAAAGCTTAAATCTAAGAACATTGCATTCTCAACTCTATTACAGATTCACAATCCATTACTTGAGTATAACAGGATCTATACAATTATGTCTATAACTTCTGTATCAAATTCTTACTGGGCCTTTATTCTAGAAGGAAATACAATCTCCACTAATTTATTATTAGAAGATGATAGGAAGTAAAGGGTACTTTATAGAGGGTTTCATAAGCCCTGCTAAAGAGGTGTAGAGTGCATCAGAGGAGTGGGATGCTAAATTTGTATCTCAGAGAATGAGTTTGGGTAGCAGCATTCAGGAAGAGATGACGGCAGAAGAACCATGATGAGGTTCCTATGCCAACGTAGACGTGCTGAGCTGAGGCAGTTGCCTTGGGGACACAGGGACCACATAGCTATGAACTACTTGGAGAATCTAATAGAAGATTATTACAGGGAGTTCATGTTGGAAGGGAGGGAACAAGAGAAAGATATTTTATAATAAAAAAGAGATCACTAGACGGGTGGTGGTTTCAAACGCCTTTAATCCCAGCACTCGGGAGGCAGAGGCAGGCGGATCTCTGGAAGTACGAGGCCAGCCTGGTCTACAAGAGCTAGTTCCGGGGCAGGCACCAAAGCTACAGAGAAACCTTGTCTCAAAACACTAAAGAGAGAGAGAGAGAGAGAGAGAGAGAGAGAGAGAGAGAGAGAGAGAGAGAGAGATCACTGTGAGGCTCTGGAGTTCAAGAGATGAGTGCAGAGTATTTGAAGCTGTGTCCTAGGGCTATGTGCTTTGATGGATCAGGCTATAAGGAGTGGAGGAAGGAAGAAATGTGGACAAAAGGGAAGAAAAATGTGGAAATTACTCTCTTGTTTTTCATGAAATCTATTTGTGAGAATTTTCTCCCTAAGGTTGGGGCTAAGCCATGTCTACCCTCCTTCTAAGGTCCCAATGACAAACCGAAGTTTGATTTTCCTGAAGTAAACCCAATGAATTTATCTGATGAGGAGAAATGGATGAAGGTTTGCTCATTAAAGTGTGGATAATCCCAAAGCAGCCACACTGTAAAGTCTGCACCCAGCATAGATAATGGCTTTTCCATAGTGGAGGCCCCTTTCTCCTGTCTTCCCCAGGGCAGAACTGGTTAGGAAGGGAAGCTAAATACTCAGATGAGGGTCCCACGACCTGCCTTGCCCTCCTTCTATGAGGGAACATCAACAGTAGACAAGACCTGCTATGATGATTCCTTATAAGCAGGTTCAGCTAAACTCAAGAAGGTAGCAACAGTTTAACTCAGAGACCGGGGAGATAGAAAAAAATTAGCTTTTTGTCGAAGCAAGGAAAGAGAGCATATAAGCTCAACGTGAGTGAAACTAAGCAAAACACATTACAAATGTGTGCCTGGAGATTTCTGTTGGGAGAATTTTACCTTTGACTTGTATTTTTCAACGAGGTGCCTTTCTGTCTCCCTAAGGTACATTTGACACTGTCTTAGAGGACATTTTTGATTGCTGTAACTAACATGGGGCTTCTGGCAGGAGAGGCCAGAGGTGCTGCTAATGTCCCTCAACATACAGGGGAACAATCACCTGACTGAAGATGTTAATGGAACCGAGGGTGAGAGATTCCTGCTTTGACAATCGAGCTGGCAATTTTGTTGAAAGAGCTGAAATCATCCTTAAATTGCTTTTCTCATCAAGAAACACCACAGAAGGACCTTGAAGTAATGTAGGGGAGGACCTTGGTATGCTGGCTGGGAAGTCCATTCCAGTTAGTTTTTCTCGCTCAAAAGGCCACTTATCTGGCCAACAGCCCTTATGCACACAGAGGCACATTGAGGACTTCAAGAACATGCCACACATTGACCCAGTGAACCCAATGTGGAGGATAGCCATGGGTGGAAAGACACGTTCAATACTACAGACAGATATAGATAGAAACTAGATAGAAACACAAAAGTCACAGGGAACAACTAAAGCTGGAGGCGTGGACACGACTATGAAACTCAGCTACTGCAATGTTACATACAAACGCAGAAATGTTGAACACTGTCAACTCAACACAATCTAGACTCACTTGGAAAAAGATTCTTAGTGAGTTCGTCTAGGTCAGGTTGGCCTATGGCTATGTCAGTGGGGATCCCATGTCACTCTGCAATGCAGAATCCCAACATTTTTTTAAAGTTAAAATGCTGTAAAGTGTGATTTAAAAAAAAAAGTCCACTTTTAGATGAACCTGTCTTCACTTTTAATGGTCTTTCAACCAAGTGCTGTCCTGTTTTGTTTTTACTTTTCTAAATAGAAGGAAAATACAGAATGGCTTGACCAATGAGAATTTAGCATTCTTTGCCTCTATTCTCTTTATGAAATTCCCTCATTCTGATCCTTAAAGTCCTTGGATATATTTATAAAACGCTGTCTGAAGTCTCCTTGTGCTTCTGCTAAGTTGCTTTTCTCAGGGAATATCACAATGAGGGGTTGGTATCTGGAGAAGGCATATCGTTTCAGTTGTTCATGCTTGTGTTTTTGTAACAGGATCGAGGCATCTGGAGCTATAATTCTGGGATGCTTCCTGCTATGGATATTTGATTCTACCCTTGCTCAGTGGGTGTTTGGGTCTCCATTTGTTGCTACCCCAATCTTACAGTTTATGGATCCACTGAATGAGGCATCCATCTGGGTTCTGGAGTTCAGATGTTGCTGACTGGCCTCAGATTGGTGCAATGAGGAGCTAAATGTCCTGGCTGGAACTCTGAGCTCAGACTCCAGAGAGACCAGAATCTGTGTAGTGGGAAGGACGAATGACAGGTGACCAGACAAGGGAAGGGGACTGGCTCTGGGGCCTCTTAAGTATGGTAATGTTTGGTAGTAGTAGTAATTGCTTTCTAAGTATTACTATATAGTCCCGAACTGGACCACACAAATGATTGCTTTTCATTTGCATAGTATTCTGTCACATAGCCCTGTGTGACCTAAAATGCAACAAGAAGCAATGTAAAATGGGAAGGGTTTCTTCTGGCATAGAGTCTGAGAGCAATCGGTTCACCCTGATGGTGAATGGACATAATCTGGAGAGAGGGTACCACAGATAGAGCAGGAAGCAGCTGGCCTTCATTGCATCTGCAGAAACTGGACAGGAAGTGGGGTTGGGCTATAAAGCCTCAAGGCTCATCCCCATGATGTACTTCCTCCAGCAAGGCTTCACTTCTTAGAGGTTTCACAACCTTCAAAAACAGCTCTCCTAGCTGAGGCCCAAGTGTTCAAACATGGGAACCTGTGGGAGACATATCACAGTCAAGCCACACCACCTGACAAAATACCTGACAAAAATTCATCACCAACTCCATCCGAAGACCTTTTGAAATCAGCGCAACTCCACAGGTAACCTACTACCTTCTTTATCCTACAGGCATCCTGCTTGGAGTTACCTACTTCTTGTTATAGTCTGAACTGGTTGCTTTCTAGGCTTGTTCACAGCAGTAGACATGAATAACAGCTTTGTCCTCTGTGGGATTTTCTTTTGTCCTAGGTTTCACTAATATTCTTTTCTGATTCTTGACTTTGTAGATGTCCTGTATCTTCCAATGCATGCTAATGGTTCATGGAAGAAGTAGATTAGCTAGGTATATATGTTCAGTATGGAAATGGTTTTTAGAGCTGGGTGTGGTAGTGTACTGTACACCTTTAATCTCGGCATTTGGGAGGCAGATGCAGGTGGAACTCTGTGAGCTCAAGGCCAGTCAGCTCTACATAGTGAGTTCTGTGACAGTCAGTGCCATATAGTGTGACCCTATCATAAAACAAGACAACACACACACACACACACACACACACACACACACACACACACACACAAGCATTTAAGTCAGGCCCCCCTCTTGCTTCTAGAACCCAGAACGGAAACTGGTAATTCTACCTCTGAGCTCCACACAGCCTATAAAGCTGGGAGTTCTGGTGCCATTTGATTCTCCGTGCTTCTAAGAGCAGCTCGTTGTCTCTGACAGTCTGAGTCTCACTAGACAATAGATTGATGTAGGCACTTTTCAGTAGTTTCATTGGGCATCATGATTTGGCATCAAGGTGACATTTGTTTTTGTTTTTTGTTGGAGTTGTCTTCACTTTTATTAACTTTCCTGTTTGCCCTCTTTATACCTCTTATTAGTATTAGCATTGGGGCTTTCTCAACAGAAATGTCTTTAACTGTTCATATTGCCTCTTTTGTTTTTTCACCTAAATAGAGGGGGGAAGAAGTCAATAGAAGAGGCCAAACTGTGATGAGACATCTCATCACTCTTTACTGAGGATCCCCAAGGACCAGCTTCCATCCCCAGGCTTGCTCTGCTGGTGTGTGATGGCTTTGAAGGACATCAGGATTCCATGTCTTGGGTTTTCAGTTGAGCTTCTCCGAGAAGTTCAGCTTAACAGGAAGCAATTCCTAAACACGCGCCTCTGTGGGAAGGCAGAACTCAGCATACCCTGTCACCGTGCTTTGGGTAGTATCTTTCAGGAGCTCTCTGGCTTTCTATGTTTTCAGTGCCTCTTTAGAGGTGTGTACATGCTTTATGTTGGTCTTCTATGACACTTGCAGGAAGCCACTCAAACATGCATGCTACCTTCAGGATGTTAGCATTGACAGGAGACAAGGACGAGAGGGAACATGCTTGCCTGCATAACCTTAGATGCAAGCGTTCCTGGAAGGTTATCTTTTATGATTCAGAACATGCTGTTTTATTTTTGTTCTTCACTATGCTGTGGAAATCATTGGCCTTTCAATCAGCTGTTGAAACTTGACCACACAACCCTTGATCTTTGATCCAGTTAACATCAAACTCTTTTTAGAAGACAGTTTTATAAAAATTACCTATGTACCTAATGTATGCCAAATCTTCCATCCAGTCTGAGGAATGAGCCTACTCAAGGACCAGAGTATCATTCTGGATGTCTACACTGATGATAATAACCAGGCATTTTTGGTATGCATACTGATTTATTATATTCATTAATAACAGTATTTGAAAATAGTGCTTAAAATTACAATTTTTACTCCACGTGTGCATATAAAGAGAATAAGGCTCAGGACAGTGTGTGAGACTATTTTCCTGATGTGGGATTTCCCTCTGTATGCTGTGAATATGATTGGTTAATACACGAACTACTTTGGTCCTATAGCAGAGCTATGGGTGAACAGAGCTAGGCAGGAAAAACTAAAAGGAATGCTGGGAGAAAGAAGGGCGGAGTCAGAGAGAAGCCATGTAGTCCCTGCCGGAAACAGATGCCAGAACTTTACTCAGAAGCCACAGCTATGTAACCATACACAGATTAATAGAAATAGGTTAAATTAATATGTAAGAGTTAGCCAATAAGAAGCTAGAGCTGATGGACCAAGCAGTGATTTAACTAAAACAGTTTCTGTATGATTATTTCAGGGCTAAGTGGCTGGGAAGCAACAAGCGGCCCCGTTCCCACATTTTCCTACTATGTTCTAGTAAGAGGATGAGTGGGAGGCTGACAATATGGCTCAGAGGCTAGACTACTTTCTGTACAAGCATGAAGACCTAAGATTGAACCCCCAACAACTCGTGTAAAGTTGTATGTAGTAGCACAAGGTTGTAACAGAAGTGCTTTCATGGACAATAAAAATGGAGACTCTTTGCACACTTGTGGGCCAGCTAGACTTCCACATGCAGTGGTGCACAACAAGAGGCCTTGCTTCAGTGGAAGACAGAAACCTCTGACATCATGTACTACAGCATGTGCATGCCATAGTCACATGCTTGCACACGCAGACACACACACACACACACACACACACACACACACTAAAGAGAGGACTGGAGAGATGTTCCCATTACCCATGTCAGCACTGCAGCTGTCAACCATCTGTAACTGTAGCTCCTGAGAATCCAGTTCCTCTTTTGGCCTCTGGGGACATTTGCATGTATACACACACACACACTCACACACATACGCACACACATTTTGAAAAAGCCTTTAAGAATCCTACTGCATGTACTGGCTTTGTGGGAGCCTAGCCTGTTTGGATGCTCACTTTACTAGACCTGGATGGAGTGGGGAGGACCTTGGACCGCCCACAGGGCAGGGAACCCTGACTGCTCTTTGGACTGGAGAGGGAGGGAGAGGGGAGTGGGGAGTGGGTAGTGGGGGGAGGGAGAGGGAAAAGGAGGCAGGGAGGAGGGGGGAATTTTTAATAAAAAAATTTAATAAAAAAAAGAAGAAAAGAAAAGCCAAGTAGCTTGGATGCTCAGCATTTACCCCACATTCGATGCCTGTTATAGTCATGCTATTTCTTAAAATATTTCTATTAAACTACATAGGTTGAAAGAAGAGATTAAGGATGTGAGGCAGCAATTCTCAATCTGTAGGTCAAGACTCCTTTGGGGGTCAAATGACCCATTCACAGGGGTCACATAAGACCTTTAGGGAAAAAAAAAACAGATATTTACATTCCAATTTATAACAGTAGTAAAGTTAGTTATAAAGTAACAATGAAAATAGTTTTATGGCTGAGATAACTACAATGTGGGAACTGTATAAAGGGTTGCAGAATCCGGGAGGATGAGAACCACTGAGTGAAGGAACAAGAGAAGGGAGTTTCAGCAAACTGAAAGAGTGGATGGGCAGCCTTCTTGCTTTCTTACCTTCCTTGCCTTGGGAGTCAGTTGCCATGTGTCACCTGCCCGGAAATGTGAGCATTTTCTTGATATTGTGACGTACTGAGTCTATGTAGCAAGAAGTTCTTAAGCTCCCAGCATGAAAGACTGTTTTCTCTAACATGGACGAGTTGCCGCGAATCACCTGGAATGGAAGAACAGCCTGCCTTTCACCAGTTTTCTAGCACAAGGGAAAGCAAGCTTACGGCATCGTGGTGTGCATACCAGTCTTAAATCTTTGTGGACGTTTGAATGAACAGCTTCCTCAGAGACTTGACCCACAACCACACCTTATCCTCGGCCGCATGGCTCCCGTGGGGTCTCTGGCCTCTCTTCCAGGAATCCTGGATTGGGTGTGAGCTTCATTTGATAATGAGTGTAGTCGCTTCTGTTTAGGGAGATCAGGAGAAACGAATTTGTCTCTCCACGTTTACTCAAGATCTTTGTTTTTGAGATGTTTACATAGACGGCCTTTCTCGGTTTCACCAGAGGCTTAGGTGGTCCGGCCCGAAAACAGTTCCCTTCCTTTCCCAGCAGAGAACGACTACAGCCAGGAGAAGCTAAGGAAATCAGACCCTGGAAAGAACGACACAGAAACAAATTCTACAGTCCGAACGGGAGCAGAAGAACATGACTTCAGTATTGAGGGAAGTGACAGATGTCCCTATGTGATGGGAACGGGTTTAAGCATAACCTTAAAATAGTGCTTTAGAGATGTGGGGAGACAGAGAAGAATTTGTCTTTGTGCTCTAAGCCCTTTCTCTTCCACGAGGAATTTTTTTAGTTAGAATACATTTTGGACCAGAGCCAGGGAACTGGTCGTTTCTAATCTTGGGTGTTGCTGCCACCTACATGGCAGGAAGACTACACACAAATCAGCGCTTCTCAGAGGGTACCTGAGACAGCGCACTGTCTGTGCAAACATAGCCTTGAGACCTCCCCATTCATTTCTCCACTTCACTATCCCAAACAAAGGACTATTTCTTTCTGCCCCATTACCTTGAATTCTCGAAGAAGTTTAAATTCTTCACTTAGATTGGGGGTGGGGAGAATAACACTGGTTATTTGGATTAAGGGCTGATTTCAGGGAATTTTCTCTATCATAAAGACCACCTCATGGACAGCTTCATCCCTGGGGTTCCTTCTCAGGGGAAGAAGAAATGATATTGGCCTGGCTCTGTATGTCCCCAGCTCCCATTTCCCAACTTCAGAATACAAAAGGGAAGGCGAAACCACATAGGCTACAAATAGAGATGCAGAGAAGCAGGGTTCTGATGACAGACAAGAGAGGTTACTTTTGATAGGCAATGCAGTTGACCCTGAAGCATTAACAGGGAATTCCTTTAAAAAAATCGCAGAAGCGTGTGCTGTGTCAATAACAGAGAGCATAGATGCTCCTTTTATCTTAGAAGAAATTGTGCAAACACCTTCTCTGCAGAATCTGCACAGGCAGGATCTAAAAGGCAATTGATGGCTCTGTAGATAATTACAATTAAAATGATTGCTAAGTGAGTAAATGATGGGTCTAGGAGGCACGTGCCAACTAATTATTGCTTTTTCATACTGTTATGAATATTGGCATGTTGCTGGCATTTGGCACTTTACAGATTTAGGCTGGGCGTGTACTAAATATGGACTGTTCGTCATTGCTGTTAAAGATCTTATATCCTTGAATAAAAATCCCCACAGCATTTCAAAGGATCGGGCTACTGAAGACAAAAAGGATCTTTACAACTGATGACAGAAAACGTGTTGTAGCAGTGGGGTAAAGGTGTTTGAAATCGTTCAAAGGCAGAGCACAAGACACCAAGAATTTTCTCTTTTATTACAGAAAAACAATGTAAACATGTTTAGGTGCTCTATGAATACCAGTTTTATGTAATATTCACTTACCTGTTTATTTTCTGTATCATTAAATCATGCTAACAATAATGCAATCATCGCAGTCTGTTTGTATGCAAATTGCTTTGGGGGGGGCAAAGACGTATTTATAAAGAGTAAAGGAGCAGGACCAAAGATAAGGAATGATTTTATTTTTTTTAAAATATCAAAGTAATCAAGGCAAACATTTTTAGTGCAATATTTATCAAACCCTAACTGGAAAATAAAAGTATGCTATCCGAAGTTTGAAGATGAGATCTGGGACAGTTAAAACGAATGCAAAGAGAGTGGGAGAGCTGTGGCTGGGCAGGCTCACCCTGGTCTCTGCCCCAGTCAGGGGCTGACCTAACACCTGCCATTCTCCATTGGACCTAAGCCCAAAGAGAGTTTCCAGTGGTAGGTTCCTTTGGGAGATTGACTATTTTTATCTGCACTTTTTCTCCACACACCCTCTTAAGGATCCTTCCTTGCTGACCAGAGCCACTGCACGTGCTGGTGGTGGGGTGGCATTTAACTGTGTGTGGAAGACAACAGTCAAGACGCTTCGCAAGTTTAAATTGGATTACTAATAATTTAGAAAATCTTTAACAAATGCTAAGCATTGCACAGACGTTTACACAGTAGAGACTATAAAATGAATGGCAACTTTGGTACATTGGATACATATTGGAATCCATTTCGTAGAGAACAAAAAGTTCTGACAACGCCTTAAAATAACTGATCACATGAGCTGTGTGTAAATTAAACTTAAAAAATTACAAGAGTCCATTCTGCGAACTGGAGTCTGAACTCAATTGGGATTAAAATATTCTGACACTCCAGTTTAAATGCACAGCATATACATCATCTTTTTTGAAAAGCAGATTACCATAATGTGCCTTTGCAAGACCAAGGAAAACCAGTATAGCTTCTAAAAACATTGATTTGAATATCTCTACAGATGCCAGCCCTGGAAGACAGTCTACCTACTGTAAGGTTTCCTTTTGGTTTCCTAATAGTAACAAGGTCTAGGAAGTCTAAACTTAGTGTCTAAAATAGCAAGGGAAAAGTTGAGGCTGTCCGATAGTGTGTTTATGATACCACACATTTGACTTTAATTGTGTGTTTCCCAGGGCTTGCATTGTCATCCATAGCTATCACATGGAGCCCTCTTAGGGTGGAAAGTGCATGGAAGCTTGCCAAAGAAATGGGGTTCCAAGAGCCCACATCACCAGGGCACACCAGGGTAGCCTCTTAGCGCCAAAGAACTTCCTAAGCTCCTTCCTCCGCACTGCCAACAAAGACCGGGAACAGCTCCACAACAGGCATGAAGGGTAACAACAGTCATGTCTGAAGACATGGCTTTACTCTGAATTAGATTTCTGTGTGGAGGTGTACACAGGCATAGATACTACCTGATGACTGCCAAAAAGAAATGCAAGATTCTCTTAAACCAACAATTCAATACAGTCACAGGACTCTGAATCCAAACAGTTTCAGGTACTCCAGTGCTCACCAAGAGACAGACCTAAGAAAGATACCTTGCCCCAATTAGGAATCCAGTTTTAACTTGAGAGCTAAGGTGCCAAGTGGTCATAAATCTAAATAGTCATAGGGCCACTTGCTGCTTCAGTTTTCCTGAAGTAGAAATCACTGAAAGTGTGGACTCGAGACGATGTTTGTAGGGGGAGCATTTTCAAACAGCCCCAGGGATTTGCATCCTAAACAGGACTGCCATGAGGAGCATTTCAGTTCTAACACACTCAGTTCTAATCCGAATTCAGTTTAGGATTAAAAGTTTTCATTTTGGAGTGGTGGTTTTTAGAAATTGATATAAAAACAAAAACCAATCTTGATGAAGTCATTTAATATGAATTTGAAGTGACTCAAGCTTACGGTGCTGAAGAATCTTATGTTCTGTTTGGTGAGGCCAGGGTTCCCCCATGTCTGATCTCCCACCACTGCTGACACCATGAAATATTTATCAAGGATTCAATATTGTTTTCTTTAGACCTGAAAATATGCTAAGTACAACAACGGTTTCAACGTACTGTTAGTCTTTTGTGCCAAGGACATATTTATGAAAATAATAAAACTCATTTTAAATAAACATACCAGGGTTTCAGCATGTACTTGCTTTTAACCATTACAATTTCTCCTTTTGGAGACATCTTTGATGTTTCATCGTCCAAAATGCCTGAGATGCCTTTGAAAGGCACAATCTGCCCCACTGCCTAGCTTGTTTGTAACTTATTTCAGATTCCTCACGGCTCTATTCAAAGGCGTAAAATGCTCAGAAGAGAATGGTTTCTGTGGCTATTACTATTGACAACATATTACCGCGTAAGTACAAATCAAAATTAACTGCATGCAGTGACATGATATTTTAGGAACCATGAAACATGGATTTTCATCACTTTGATGGCATTGCAATTTTTTGATATTCCTATTAGATATATTCATCTAGTTCAATAATTAATTGTAAATCTCGAGGGTACAGAGCAAGGCAGCTCAATGATGTATTTCCCTTTTTGAATCTTTCCTTTCCCCTGACTGCTGCATCCCAACACAGGATCTGAGGCTGGTCCTCAGAAAATTGTTGAATTAAAATTGTATGAACTGAAATGAACTATGCACACACACACACACACACATACACACACACACATACACACACACCATGCATGCACATACACAGGCAAAATATGTATATATCATATATATTTATTTCCATCTTCTTATGGATTAGGCCATATTTCTATTCATTTAGCTATATATTGATAATCTTTGATGGTTTTCTATAAATTAAGAAATCATTCAATAAAAGTCATAGCACTTAATTCAGAGCAGCTTCACAGATGAGCATGTCACACCCATTTCTGTTGATACTGCTTTGCATTTTTTTTAGTTTTAGAATTTCTGCTAGCCCAGCTTCTTTCTGGGAAATGATTGTGGATGTTTATACTAACAAAGAATGAGCTGTGGCATGTTGTAAGTAGAATCCCCTCCCCAAGTTCAGGTTACAAGGCTAATAACATCAACCTTTAATTAAAGATGTTCGCTACGGTGTCATTAGAGCTCTGTACTGATCGGACTTTGCAAAACTAGACACTTTTGTATGTCACAGATTGACTAAAGGACATTTTGTGTTTACGGATGTGATGTGCAGAGGCTGGTTGGAACTGAAGCGCCCGCTGAAACACTATGTCCAAGCTCAACATGGCAAAGATGATAAAGTTGTGGTTTAAATGCCTTGAAACAACTATAAGCTGAGAGTCTTGTGCATTCCTTTGGCTGCTCATATTCAGGCACTGATATTCCCAGCCTGAAGCAGTGTTAAATCTCTACCTGTGGGCTGGCATTCTTTTTACAAACAGTGACAGAAAAATAAGGAGGAATAAAGAGGCTCACTTAGACAATCAGATCCTAGAATTAGAATTTGGATGTCGTCAACCAGTGATAACATTTTTAATACACCTTGGCTAACATATTAGTGAAGCCACTAGAGACCCATTACAACATTTTTTTTTTATTTGGTGGGAAAGAAATAGTGTGTTTGTGCTTCTCTGTTAGTTCAGATTCGATTCCGTTTTCAAGACTCCGTCTAGCACATCCTGCAGGAGCACACTTTCGCTATCCATGGACGATGCCGAGGCTGACCTGGAAAGAAAGCAGATATCTGGGTTACATAGTGCAGTACAGAAACAAGAGGAAAGACAGAAGGAGGAGAATGCGTGAAGGGGAAGCGAGAGGAGCAGAAAAGGAAGGAGAACATTGCCTGTGATTTCTGCATCCCTTTCCTACCCTGAAGTAAAATGCATTAATGATAACCGATATCCCCGTCT